GAGGTTTGAGAAGAGAGTCAGAAAGGAAAGGAACCAGGGACGCCGAGGGCTGAGATGTGGCCCCGGGGAGAACGTGAGAGCGGCCAGTTCTCACCCTGACGGCATGGGAACCAGGGCCACCAGGGGCCCGCAGTAGAGACGTGAGCTGAGGGGTTAGGGGTGGATGGAGGAGCTGGTCTAGGACCGAGGGAGACAAGGCCGGGGATGCAGGGCCGAGAGTGAGAATGACTTTGTATTTCAGGCAGAATTCTGGGGGGATCAGGGCAGCTCACATTAGCCAAGAGAAAATAAAAGGCAGTGAAACACCCAGCACCACACGCACTTTAACAAAACCTGAGTATCGCATCTCAGACACAAAGCCCGTGATATCCTTCTTAAAGAGGCTCTTGGCAACGTTGTCAGGGCAGCCAAGCTGTTTAGGTTCACAGGGAATCGTGTTCTGATCCTTCTTGTTAAAATCCACTCAAGAAAGTACCACCATCATCTACACAAGTTGTGCGAAGGTTGGTGCTTTTTCTTAAATTTTATTTTATCAAAGTGTAGGTGAGTTATAATGTTAGTTTCTGGTGTCCAGCAAAGCAGTTCAGTTCTACAGTGGTCAGTGTTCAGTCTGAAAGGCTGTCAGGAAGGCTGCTCTGTGGGAGGGACCCTGCCCTGGGCCAGCACATCCTCTGACACGGACAACCATGTCCCCCGCCCCGGAACTAAGGCAGCCCCTGTGCGCGCTCCTTCTCCTTCTAAGGCAAGTGTGCGGATCATTGACCACCTGACGGATAAGCCCAGTGGCATCTCTGCAGAGGGCTGAGTTGCACGGAGGAGCAGGAGGGGGAACCAGCCGGCGTGATTAAACAGCAGACGTGCTTCTGCCGGTGAACCCCACGCCTGACATTCTGGGGCTACTTAGCAATCTAGACAGAGAGCATGTAATTCCCTGTGTCCAGCACGGCCTCGGTGTCCAGGGGACCACGGTGATTAAACAGGCAATGTATCTAGTTACAACTAAGCAAAGCTTGTCTTTCTTCTTTTATGAACTGTCAAATTCTTGTTGATTTAACTGTGAAAATAAATTGCACTCTTATATTCTCCATAAATTTCAGTCACAGAAAACATGTGTGGATTTCTCTCTTACAAAGCTCTGCTATGTCCTTTTGAAAAATACTCAGCGTATAAAGAGGAAGAATTAGCGGTTTAATTCTTAAACCTTTTGAGGTGTCTTCTGTCTCTCAGTTGCTGGGCTCGGCCCACACTGGACTTAAAACTCCATGGCCCCCTCGAGGTCCAGCCCAGAGACCACTGGCTGCCCCTGAGCTCCGGGGGGATGGGGAATATGCTGGCCCCGCCAGTGCGGGCCACAGGGAGGGGTCCAGTGGGGACAGGTGGGGGAGGGGGACAGCAGGGGGGAGGGACGGCACGGGGAGCAGGACAGCAGGGAGAGCGGAGGGACAGGCAGGCTGGCCGCCTGCACGGGGCCCCACAGACGTTGGCTGTGACGTCAGTGCGTGAGCTCACGTGACCTCCCAGGGACCGAGTGACCGGGGAACTGGCATAAAGCACCCCAGCCTCCCCCCAGCCCAGGCCCCAGGAAGATGGAATGTGGTGCCGTCAGCCCAGCGGGGAGCTGGCATCAGCCTTGTGCTGACCTCGGGAGGCCTGGGGTCCTGGTTTGGGGTTGGCTCACAGAGCAGGCCCCGAGCTGAGGACTGAGAGCCCCCGTGACAGACTCTCTAGGGAGCGGGGCAGCCGGGTGGAGGGACAGGAAGGGGTGTGGACAGAGCACAGCCCCAACCTGGGCCTGATCCCCAGGGTTCCAGGGTGCCCACCCCCCAAGGCATTGGTCCCCCAGAGAGCTCAGCGCTCATACTCTGGTGCCTGCGGAGCATGGGGCAAAGCCACCGGGGCCAGGGCTCCCCCATCCTGTGAAGGCAGCAGCCCGGCCTGGAGGGAAGCCCAGCTGAACGAGGTGGCACCGGGGCACCCAGGCAGCACCAGCAGGTCCCCACATCTCCAGGAGCTCTGAGACCCACAGAAGTCCCTGTTAGGAGCCCCGAGCTCTGTGGGACCCAGAGCCCCGCCCTGAAGCCAGATGCAGGGCCGTTGGGTAGGTGCAGATGGGACAGGCAGGTCAGAGTGAGGACAACACGGTGGCTCCTGGGGTAAGGATTTGCCAGCCCGGCATGGTAGGTAGGCTCTGCCCCAGCCTTTGCCCCCCAAGCTGGGAGGGCCTGCAGGTGGGTGTCCCCTCAACCCCACCACACCCGGCTCCCCAACATGCAACATGTGGCCTCTCAGGTGGCACCTGAGACAGGCAGCCTACTCCCCAAGGGGCAGAGGGGAGGGGGTCCCAGCCGGGGGTCCCCTAATCAGGGCGCGAGTCCCACTGTGATCACAGGAGTACAGGCTCCAGGGTTAGGTCTAAAATGAGGGACTGAGACATGGTGGCCGGAGGACACAGCCTGGGGAGGAGTGGGTGTGGGCAGGACGAACGCTCACAAGGACAGCAGGGGACACGAGACAGACAGGAAGTGAGCAGACGGGAGGGTTTGGGGGAAACACCTGAACCCCGTGGGGTGGGAGGGCAAGTCCCTCAACAGACCAGCTTCACTCAAACCAGAGGGACAAAATATTCCAAATGTACTCAATAGATCTTTACTTAATTTCTGAAAGCTGAAAATACGAAAATGTATACTTTTCCATTGACATTGAATTTTATCATGAAACCTTTCATTGTGAGAGAGAGAGAGAGGACTGTTCCCCTGTTTCCTGGGGTACTTGGCATGTGAGTCCCTAAACGCCCACACACCATGGGGATTCAAATGAGGTTTGCCTGGTCCGTCCGCCTGAGCAGGATGTTTGGTTTTGCAAAGATTTTCCTTTACAAACAGCCTGTGGACATTCAGGCTGGAATCCAGGCATGTCTATGTAGAGCTAAAGCAGAGAAACAGTATTGGAAATTGCGCAGCGATCTGGCACAAAGCTGCACCCAGCGGCCCCTGAAGGCCCATGGGAAGTCGAGAGAATGCTCTGTCCCCTCTCTGTGCCTGATGTTCACGGTCAGACAGATGGGCAGGAGGGCAGGGCTCACTTCCCCCACCCCTGGGAAGCTGCCCTGGTCCCAAGACGACAAAAACCCAGCGTCTGCACCGGGTGTGGCATCACTATCAAGAGTAAACTGTGGAGCAAGAGCCCTGACAGGAGGAGACCAGAAATGAGCTCCTGGACAAGGAAACAGCAACCACAGGCCGC